GAGTTAGCGCTGTGGCTTACCAAAAACTCGAGAAAGATTTATAATATGCCATCAGTGTCTTAAAAAACCCGCTTACCAGAGGCAAATTAAGCAGAGTGCGATGTGCACCAGCAAACTGGAACAGACAATTAAGTCTAAACGAGGGTGAAAAGAAAGGGGTGAGGAAAAGGCCAAATTTACATGTCTTAAATGCAAATGGAGCTCACAGCTCGAAATTTAGTAAGTTTATGTTCCAATATTCGGACTCTGAGATAACTAGGTCTAGTTCCATGAAAATTCAGCATTCCTGATGTCTGGGTTTTCCTATACGAATCTGTACACATACCTACAAACACATACAATAAATAAAAAGTAATAGCAGTTCTGAAGTTCGCAGTCGCATAAGCTAAAAAACCCCTGAATAGATGATACCTTCGGTATTCATGACGGCAATCATCGTAAAGTCTGTCGCGATCATCGTAGTGACGTGATTTGCGATGACTAGGCCTGTCGCGATCACGATAATCACTGTCACCGCTATATCGATTGACTGAGTGAAGTATGCGCCGGTCGTCGTGAGTCCGAGACCTTAAGAGTCGAATCATCAGAGAGACTGGACTAAGCAAATCCAAGGCGATGCAAATAAATTAGCAGTCAGTGATGCTGCAACTGTCCTATTTCATTTCCGACAGCGAATTACAATGTGAAATTGCAGCCAAAAAGTCGAAATTATGTAGAAACCCCCTAATACTTTCCACGAAGGGAAAAGTGCTAGAACAAAGCAAAAGTAGTGACATGACGCATATACCGAAAGCATATCCAACCACTGAATGCTTCTACAGATCTAGTTTTGTGCTCCAGTGGCAAATCTTCATCTCGCCAGTCGAACACTGTGCATCGCTGACTAATTTCTACCCACCACACTAAAACTTGTGATCACTGGTCAAATTATTGTCACCAAAAAAGCGAAAGGGTGTCGCTGTAGGGCTGGTGTTTGCCCAAAACCCCGTCTCTTTGCTCAAAAAATACGTTTCTGCACTATTAGAGTATATCGTTTTCCTACCTTTTGACGATAAAAGTAGCACTTCCGAATCCAGTCACCCACTGGCTTTGAGCACTATTCCTTTCAAATGAATGCTTCTATAGACCTAGTTTTGTGCTTCAGCGGCAAATCTTCATTTCACCAGTCGAACACTGTGCATCGCTGACTAATTTCTACCCACCACACTAAACCTTGTGATCACTGGTCTAATTATTGTTTTGTTTTTTATAAAGATAATGCTAATGTTCCGTTTCACATCATGCATTCTCAGAAAAAGAAACTGTATACATACCGCCCTCTTTCTTCATCCGAAACCGTTTTGTCGTCAACAATTTGTTTTTCTTTTTCTTCTGATTGCACCTCATCTTCAGTATCTTCGTTCAGCTCTTCATCACTGGAATCATCACTTGTTCTGCTCGAACTGTCCTCCGAATCACTGCCATCTGAGTCGGTGGAATCCGAAGAGTTTTCGTCCGATGACTCTTCTGACGAAGAGGAAGACGATGACGAAGAGGAGGATGATGAACTTGATTCAGATTTTCTTTTCCTACTCTTCTTTATCTGCAAAAAAGGCTTCAATCACAAAAAAGCGGTATTATAATTACATTTTTACCAGAACCAAATGAATAACAGCTGTCTAAGCACTCCTCTAAAAGAAGTTACCAACTATTCCGTCGCTACACCCAAAACAGCAACAGAAACGCTAGGGCACATTTTAGTCACAGGTTACAAATTCTGCAGTAAATATCATAGCCGAATTAATGGAAGGCAATGAATACTACAAAATCGTGGATCATCTTAATACTGAGATGTCTTCACATCAAACAACTGGACGGAAGAGGAAAGCGAGCACAAATGCCAGGTATGCTAGTGCTGGGCTATAAAGCTGTAACTGTGAGTCGCCATATCATTTGCGCATGCGAACCCCGCACTACATATTTAGCATATATTTTTTACCAACCAGCACGACTCTAAACATGCAAAAAATCGAAACTTTTGCCCAAAACAAGAGTGAAGCAGAAGTCGAAAATTCCCTCGCATTTAAAGATTGGAGCAATCGAAACTGAGGTGAGTGATAACACTTTCCAAAAACAGCATTCCAGACAACTATGATTTCATTTTCCATCTACTCTTTTGAGAGAGCCGACAGCATGCAAACCTAGTCAACGACAGCTGGGTCGCGCGCTGCAAGACGATAGCAGTGCCATGTAACTATTTCACTTCATCAGTCTCGCACAAAATTTTGAAAACAAAAACTAGCTATGAAATCAAAACCAGTTTATTTACATCTTCATGTTCCTTCGTCGTCTTTTCCTCATCCTTCTCAGATTTCTCCTCCACGCCCAGCGCAGCGCCCTTGTTCAACCTATAAAAAAAAATTTTTTTTTTTGCAAAACGACAATTATAGTAGAACATAAGCAGTGAGTAAACAATTCAAAAATCTTGTTTGCTGGAAGCGAGCGCAGTATAGCATATCTCCCGAACAAAAAAAATAAATAGCAACGCGCACCAGACTAGCCGGTGCGATCATGAGTTTTGTGCAATTCAGCCCATCGAACGACTGCCTAGTAATGATTTTCACTGTCCTGCACTTCTGTCTATGCAAAAATAGTTCAAACATTGGAAAACAGTTAAAAATTTCACGCACCAGCGTATGAAAGCTAAATAGCAAAATACAAACATTGGAAAACAGTTAAAAATTTCACGCACCAGCGCATGAAAGCTGAATTCGAAACTTTGAAGGGTGAATATCTTTCTGTGATTCCCGAGATAATAGTTTACCCGCCAAAATTTTCACGAGGCCTTAGGTGGTACCCGAGAGCGTGAGAACTGAATTTGAATGGGCAAGGTTGAGCGTGGGCAGGGGGTCATTACCCTAAAATTTCAGCCTTCTAGACTCCGTGGCTCCCGAGATATTAACTTACCCGTAAAAAACTTTCACGGGGCCGTACGCGTTACCCGCGGATAATGAATTTAAATTTGCGGGGTCACACGTGGGTGGGGGACGTTCCCCTAAATTTTCAGCTTCCTAGCTCTTAATTTAAATTTGCGGAGTCACACGTGGGTGGGGAACGTTACCCTAAATTTTCAGCTTCCTAGCTTTGTGAAATTTGCGGGGTCACACGTGCAGGGCCGTACGCGTTACCCGCGGGTACGGGGAAGCTGAATTTAAATTTGCGGGGTCACACGTGGTGTGGGGAACGTTACCCTAAATTTTCAGCTTCCTAGCTTTTGGGTTCCCGATTTGCGGGGTCACACGTGGGTGGGGAACGTTCCCCTAAATTTTCAGCTTCCTAGCTTTTGTGGTTCCCTTTGCGGGGTCACACGTGGGTGAGGAACGTTCGGCCGTACACGTTACCCGTGGGTACGGGGAAGCTGAATTTAAATTTGTGGGGTCACACGTGGGTGGGAAACGTTACCCTATTTCAGCTTCCTAGCTTTTGTGGTTCTCGAGTTGAAAGTTGCGGACAAGTTGCTGCGGACACACACAGACAACCCCGTGACAATATGCGTTTTGTACTGCTGTTACACAGCACAAAACGCATAACAATTATTGCTCGCAGAACGGTTAATCGCATTCCGCTTACAAACATAGTACAAAGCGCGGCAAAAAGCCGGTAAAGAGGATGTATTTTTCGTTGTCCCTTATTCCCTTTCACAACTTACCGCTCCACTTCCTTCACAAGCTCTTTTCATGATCCTCCATATCATTTTATCACAAACTACCACAGCTTAGCAATCGACCTAGCATCCCGGTGCAGGCCTGTAGTGACCGAAAAGCGTAAGTCAGCTGAGCAAAAACCGGACAAACAAATCGGAAAGCTCGCATAAAGAAATTCGCCGGTATTGTCATCGCACTTGCAAAAATGCGCATAAAAACTGAACTGAAATTCATCAGTAAAAAAAACCCACTGCTCGTAGTGTAGCTTTTCAGCCCTATAAACGATGGAATAACGTAAAAAATGAGACTAACTTTTCAAAAGATGTCCCATCGATGAAGTCATCTTTTATGCCAAGCGCGGCGCGCATTCGGTTTCGATTCTGAATTGCGGCTTTGGCCCGAACGTGCGTGTCCCGAGTATTCAGCTCAGCATCTATGTTCAGTTCGCCAGACTCCACCTGACTTTGCAATAATTTCCGATACTCATCCACCTTTTTCTGTATTTCCACCTCATCAAATCCCTGAAATTCGAGATAAGCAATTTAAGCGTTGTTTGAGACAATAGTACCACACATTCCTACATTCCATCCTATTGCAAATGATCTGATAGTTACAGTGGCGAGAACTCCCCAACACTTCATACCCCTCCACCTACACCCAGCAACCAAAACAAAAACATCGATCTTACTCTAAATATTCTTTTTCTACCTATCCATTTTTACTACAAGTTATTTTTAATAATTCTTATACACTTTTTTTTCGCTTTCTCCTAATACTGCACTCTAGCACCTCATTATCAATTGACTCCCGCTTACACTTTCGAAACAACAATAGTTACTATGTTTTAATTTTCATTATATTGATATAAGCAATTTGGGCGCAAGAAAAGCATGGAGACCAGGACCTTTCGCACAGATAAAAAAAAAAGCGCTTTTTTTTTCAGTGATTATGGCATTTCCGGGTGCAATTACTAGCTTCCAAAGTGACTGCGGCACGAAGAAAATGACGAGACTTTTAAAATGATCTGAGAACTGTTCCAGAAGCAAATACAAAAAACTGTGTGGAAAGGTCAGAATTTGAAACCACTTAGTTTTTTCATTTTTTTTTTTTTTGCCAGAAACAACCCTGCCCTCTCCCTCATCGCCTAAAAAAAAGTGTCTACATTTCACCAACATTTCACTCTCCGACACCGAAATGTAACAAGTCACAAAATGGCTATACAGATCAAAGACTAACTTAGAATGTCGTCAAACATAGCCAGCCTCCATCTCATCAGATGACCTAGAATCTCACTTTTTAATCAATTTTCTAGCGAAATTTCTGCAGCAATTAGATAATACTGAAAACAAGAGCAATTCAGTCGCGACA